AGAGAACTGGTTTTGCTTGTCTAGAGAACCCAGGCTAGGACAAATGCATAGTTATAAATTAAGTACACAGGAATTTTCAAAGTGATCAAAATTAATAACTAGAGTGGTGATTATACATTCAAGTGTAGTGGAACCTGGCAGGTTAACATGTAGCTAAATGGGGACTATGGCAAATTGGAAAGATTTGTCCCTCCTAAAGGAGGCAGGTGTTACTCAACTCTAGCAAGAGGGTTTGTTGACATATGAAAATTCTGGTTCCAAAATTTCAGGAGAACACCATTAAAAAGATCATAATTTTAAATGCCAACAACTAATTCAAAGAAACCACCAGTTGTCTGTGATTTTGTCGTCCTGTGGTGGCTTGTATGTTACTGTGATGCCGGACGCTATGGCACCAATGTTTTAATTACCAGTAGGATCGCCCAGGGGGGACAGCTGTCTGTGGAGCATTAAATTCAGAAGTGGCTTTTTTATGTTTTATGAACAAGTAATTATGAAAAATGGTCACATAAAAACACTGTTTACTACTTAAAACATGCAAAGGTTCAAATGCTTGCCTTACGAACCTAGACAATATGGTCATTTGCTATAGGAAAATCATAATTCCATGCTCCTACTCCCTTACTGTACAGGGTCGCTATGGGTCGGAACCGACTCGACGGCACTTAACAACAACAACAACAACAACTCCCTTACTGACGATCTCATGATCTGACATTTTGTATTTATGACAATATCAAAACAAAAAACCAAACTACTGTTAGGCTATTATGAAGTCCTGGAAAGGTGCTGTAGGATAAGCACTCGATCAAAAGGTCAGTTTGAACTGCAAGGTTGGCAGTTTAACCTCACCTCCAAAATGCTACATAGGGTTGCTAATGACAGCACTTAACACCAATAACATTCCACAATTAAGGGCATGAACAAGTAGGCAGGGAAGGTGGCAAAGGCTAAGAATGTCACCTCCCAAGAGAAGGGTGTGAGGTTGACCCCCAGGAAGCTGGGTCTCAGTGTTCCATAGGAGTGCTACGTCCAGTTGCCTCCTGGGGCAGTCTCTTCTGTGTCCCTGCCTCCAGGTGGACTTGCAGGCATCACCAAGCCAGCAGGCACCTGCTCTGATCCCTAGCTCCTGTGTGGCCTGGGAGCCTGCAGCTCAGAACTGCTGGGGGATGGGAAGGGAGGAGAGAACAGGGCATTGCAGAGGGTGTTTGAAAGAAGTGTGTGTGCGTTTAACAATGTCCCAGGCTGAACCAAACTGGGCTTGAAACACCTGCCTCAGTGGGGCAGAGTGTGCCTTCACAGGACGCTCAGAGCCTTGGGGACAGGCAGGCCTGGAGGGCGGAGCCAGCTCCACGAGAGGATCACGAATGCAGGGCTTGCAGGGGTGAGTGAAGTCCTGAAGGTGGCACCACCAAGGAAGTTCTGGCTCAGTACATGAGGTAGGTGAAGTGGAAGGTCATGGGCCCTCTAGCCACTCTCCCAGGCCTCCTGGGCTTGTCACAGTGATGAGCTCACCAGTAAATCTCAGTGCGGTTATTTCTATGATCATATTTTCTAAATAAAAAAAAAAACAAAAAAAAAAAAGGTCCAAAAAAAAAAAGGGGAAAAAAAAAAAAAAAGAATCCTCCGTTTTCACATAGCTCCAATTTTCAAAGAACGACCTGGTTCTCTGGAACCTAACCATCTTGATAGGTGAGGAGTAGGTGTGTTCACAAGTTGAGCAGAATATTCAAGCAAGAGAGAACGGGGTGTGGTAAATTACTTGCTTGTCTTATCCAGGGTTTGATAGAGAGAGACATTACCCCTTTTATTGAAAGGTACAGACCTGTCAAATCTAACTAGAAACAGCTTTGACTATTCAATGTGTGTTTGTAAACATGAAATGAGACCTAAAGGGCATGGAGGTGAAAGAAGTGCTCCTCAGAAGGCTTTCCACTTAGAAAACTATTTACTAGCTTAGCACTTCTCTTAAGGAGGCAATTGTTATCACATCTTGGAATTTTACTTCAAGAAGTACAGAGGACGGTTGGTTCAGAGGCACCTTGAGTGTTTGAACTCTTTCCCAACAAAGGCACCTGTTGTCATCAACCATCACCATGGCATTAGTCTTAGATTTTCTCCTTGACCCAGTTCTATTGAAACACACCTCCTCTGACTCCACTGCATGCAACTTTTTTTTTCTAGATCAATATGTGTGTACTTTTGAAATCTAGAAGTTTCTTAGTTTTAAGATTCCAGTAGGGCACCAAAGTAGTAGGAGCAGCAAGTCATAACAGCCTTCTTTATATAATACACAGATTTTGAAGTAGTTAGAGCAAACAAACTTTTGGAAAATTATACCAAGGTGACCCAAACTCTAGGAGGGCTTGATATTTAAAAGAAGCTCATTGGGAAATCAAGTTATAAAGAACTGTTTTGAAATGCAAACAAGTACTCTGCGTTAACTAAATAGAAAGATGTTATAATTTAGGATAATGCATGCATGTATAAAGCTGCTTAACTCATCAAATTGACCTAGTCGCACATTATATACATACAAATGACTACCACTTTGAAGTTGTATAGTAAAGAAGCTTCTTACTTTGCTGTGAGGTAGTGTTCCTGGTTACTTTTTTCAATGGTCCACACGGTCACTGTAGTTGAACTTGACAAACACAGCTGGTGCCAGTTCATGGGGTTAAAAGTCATCTGGCTCACATCCACCCCAGGTTGTGACTGCTTGCACAAAATGATCTGTGATTCCCAATTCCTTAGAAGAAAATAGTATTTGATGAAAAAATAATTTAATTTGAATTTTATATCTTGAGAATATTAGTTATTTGGAAATAATTGACACGTGGCATTCTAGGATCAACACTGGACTGCTAACCACAAGGCCGGCAGTTCAAACCCACCAGATACTCCTCGGAAAACCTATACAGGTCGTTATGAGTCAGAACTGACTCCATGGCACTTAACAACAACAATGTATGTATATGAAACAGTTTTCATATTATGTGGCATTAATATATAATTTATAAATAATTATGCATATAATTGTAGTGTACCTGTCTAAGAAAATGTAACAACTATGTGATTTTTAAGTATTACCGTGTCAAAGTCAGCGGTTGAAACTTACAAGTTGCACCTTGGAAATCCTAGACAGGGTTGCTATGAGTTGGACCCAATTCAACAGCAGTTAGCATACAATATTACAAAACCTATTTTATCCTAGATAAAAATATTTCAACCAAAACAAACTCAGAACATGGTCTTTTATTTGCTGAAAGATAAACGTACATACCAAAATCTTTATGTCTTATACATGAGTACATCATATGGATCTGGGTAGACTGGGTTCCAATGGAATAGTCAGAGTTTTTAAATAAAATTACTAGTACTCTAAAATGGGTTCCAATGGAATAGTCAGAGTTTTTAAATAAAATTACTAGTACTCTAAAATGGACTCATTTACCTGTTTGAGAAAATAAATTAAATGCTATCATGAGCAAAGTCCTTGAATAGACAAAATGGAAGAATATGAAGAAAGAATAAACAGTGAATTATTCTCTCTCAATTCCAACTCACAGGACCAGGAAGTTAATGTAAATGACTGCAATTTCCTGAATGTTGGCTCTAGGTCAGGGGATATTTTTAGCTTCACAGACCCTAAGATTTTATGCAGATGTAGCATGAAAACAGCCAGACACAACATGTAAACAAATGAGCACAACTATGTTCTAATAAAACTTTATTTTACAAAATCAAACGGTGGACCAGATTTGACCCATGAGTCATAGTTTACCAAACTGCTCAAAGTGGTGGTAGCCAGCATGGTCAACTAAAGTGAGCAGCCAACACTTGACCCCTGCAGACCACCACATGGGAACACAGGGCCAGTGTTGCCTGTGTTCAAGAGGAACGTGACAGATCTCTAAATGTACTCCAATTTAAAAAATATTCAGTGGCCCATACAACACATCTGTAGCCCAGAATCAGCCTAAAGATGGCTAATTTTGAACCTCTGACGTAAATACCAGATAACAGGCACTGCTAGATATTTGGCATATGTTTACTCAATGAATTCTTAGAAAAATCATATTTAAGAAATGTTATGCACATTGCACAGAGGAGGGAGCTGAGGTCCATCTTCTCCAAGCCTACACAGCTAATAATTCGTGGAGCCAGGATTTAGACCTAAATCCGTGTACTCAGAAGTCTGTATCCTTTGCACTTCACTGTTATTTTTAATATTCACAGCCTTTGCTTATGAATGACAAGTGGAATCTTCTGCCTTAGGAACTCTCAGAACCTATTATGCACTTGTCTTCTCTCCCCAGCAGCATCCTATTATGTGTGTGTACATTACATACCAGCTTCAGCAGTTGATGATTCATTAATATTGACACAAACTGCTCCAATGCCCAGACCTTCTAACACTTCTGATTTCTTTCATATTTATTCTAATGACAAATGAGAAGGTAGATTTCTTTTTTAATGCCGGTGTCATTAAACAGGCAATGAATAAACATACCGGTATATTCATACCACAAACTTGAAAGGAATGAACAATGATACACACAACAGTGTAACTAAAATCTCAAAATAAGTATGTTACATGGAAGAAGCCGGGCCAAAGAGGGCACACAGTGTGTGCCTCCAGTTGTGTGAAATTCTAAATATCACAAAGTCATCTAGAGTGACTAAAAGTAAATCAATGGCTGCCTAGGACCCACAGAAGGGGAGGGGTGAGGGCATGTGTGGTAAGAGACAGTAAGCGGGGAGGATGCAAAGGGGCACAAGAAAACGTTAGGGGCGATGGATGTATTTATCTTGATTGTGGTGGTGAAACCCAAGTTGAAATTTATTGACGTACACATTTTCTGTCTGAGTGGTTTATTACATGTTAACTGTCAAACTTCTAACAAACAACAGCAACAAAAAACCCTGTGCACAAACTGAATCAGAACCTAGAGTTTTGCATTGTTGTGCAAGGAACACTGGTGTATAAGGACTATCCTCAGTCATCCCTGCAACATCTAGGACTTCCCCTTCATAAGACAAATTTCCCCCTGATGGACTTTCTGTTACGGGAGGAAGATACAGTGCAGCCTTGAAGATGGCCACTAGAAACATCCAGCCAAGGGAAAAGATGGGTTTTATCCACAGGCATTTCCTATGCAGCTAATCATATAGTCATTTTTACATCTCTAAAAACAATTATAAGGAGCTCTGTTAGCATATTGGTTACGAATCGGGCTGCGAACCTCAAGGTCAGCAGTTCGAAACTACCAGCTGTTCCGTGGGAGAAAGATGAGGCTTTCTATTCCTGTAAAGATTTACAGCCTTGGAAACCCTGTACAGGGTCACTGTGAGTCGGAACCGACTCCATGGCATATAACCACCACCACCAAAAACAATTATGGAGCCCTGGTATCACAGTGGTTAAAGTGCTAAGTTGCTAACCAAAAGGTGGGTGGTTTGAACCCACAGCTGCTCTGCAAGAGAAAGATGTGGCAATCTAGCATCCATAAAGATTGATAGCTTTGGAAACCTCATGGGCAAGTTCTGCTTTGTCCTGTGGGAGTCAACTTGATGAGGTTTGGACTTTCAAAATGTACTTCAATTTAATTTCAATGTTTGTTGGAATGCATGCAAACAGTTCATTCAAAGGTACCACTTGTTTTTTAAAAGATGCAACTTAGGTATTACAAATATATTCTTCATTGGATACTTATTATATATAACACATTAATAAAAATTTTGTGCCTAATCATTGCATCCATATTAAACCTTATGATGTGGTCTTTTATTTCTTTCCTTTTTTCCATGTTTCAGGCTGTTCATGTATATTTGCTTTCATAAAATCTGGAAGGATCAGATAAAAATATAGCCCAGTGGAGGGAGTTTTGCTGGATGCTATAACTTACCAGAGGGCCAGTTCAAATTCTGGGAGAGAGGAGTAACTAGCCAGGTATGTGCCACAGTAACTGAAGGTAAGTAAAGTATAATCCAGAAGAACATTGCCTAGAACAGAAAACCATTAGAAGGACTTCGTTATCCTGTTCCGATCAACTACAGTCTGACAGTTTACTTCCCTGTTAAAATAATCTTCACACAATTCAGAAGGCTTTAGCTCTTGGAGTAAGAGATCTACTTGCTGCTTTCTAAGAATTATAAATAGAGCACTAAGAGCAAAGTTAAGGTCAATTTTTAAAAGATATTATGTTGTTGTTGTTGTTAAGTGCCGTCGAGTCGGTGCCGACCCATAGCGACCCTGTACAGGGTTTCCGAGGCTGTAAATCTTTACGGGAGCAGAACGCCTCATCTTTCTCCCACAGAGCAGCTGGTAGTTTCGAACTGCTGACCTTAAGGTTCACAGCCCGATTCGTAACCACTACGCTACCAGAGCTCCTTAAAAGATATTATAGTGAATGAAAATATTATAGTAAGTCACCATTTCTAGACTTCAATATAGAGCCAAATACAATGGATAATACATGTCCCAGCATGATTTTAAGAGCCAAGTTATAACATATAGATATTTTAAACTATAAAATTCTTTCAATATAAGAAACATTGTCATTAGAAGAGTTACTCCAGCGACCTTAGATATCTTGAATTGTAATCATTCTAGTTTATTTCATTATCTCCATATACTTTAAGTCTTATTTGGCCCTTGGCTTAGTAACTTCAAGCTCTTGAAACAACTATAAAAAGTTATCTTTCTCACTAGTGTCGATTGTTGAGGAAATACAACATGGCCTTGAAAAGTCTTAGCAACAACAGATTTAAGTGCACATAATGCTGATGCTAAAACTAGGATGCGTCTGTCTGTTCTTCCCTGTAGATGGGGCTCTGGTTTTTTGTCCTCTTAATTCTGCTTTTCCTCAACATTGTTCTTTTGCCTGCTCCTCTGTCTGTTTTCTTTCGTCTTTGTCACTTGATGGATATCTTTTAAATGTCTGTTTCCTGCTTTTTACCCTTTTTACTTTAGTTCTTATAATACTGTAACCCTAAAGAAGGAGCCATGGAGGCAAAGTGTTGGGCTGCTATCCACAGTCATCAGTTCAAATCCAGGAGCTGCTCCATAGGAGAAAGAGGAGACTTTCTGCTCTAGTAAAGATTTATAGCCTCAGAAACCCTATATAGGGTCGCTGTGAGCTGGAATTAAGTCGATGACAGTGGGTTTATAACCCTAAAACATGACTTTTCATCATTTATTGAATTGATTCAGTACAAACAACAACAAAAATTAATGTGTATATATTCAGCATTCGATGGGATGGAGGCCTTAACAGAATGATTTTCTGTCTTTGTATGTAGACATTTCTCCCCATAATTGAAGATTATTAATTCTATTTTTTCTTTTTTTAAAAAACATCTTCAAATTAAAAATTTTGATTGGGAAATAAATTACTATGATAAAAGTAGGTTTCTAAAAAACTTACTAAAAAATAAAAGTATCATTAGTTAGGTTTCCACATATCACTTCCATTCTAAGGAAGACATTTGAAATGCCAGAAATAGAAAGACCATATTACTATGCAGAAGAGAAATAAAGTGGAATTTTAAAGCTTTTCATCTTTGAAGGGCTGTGTGTGTGTGTGTGTGTGTGTGTGTGTGTGTGTTTGTGTGTGAAGAGTTGGGAAAGTCATGATGTTAAACCTAAAATGTTAGCTAAAGCCTTAATATTAGCTGTAATAAAAATGCTATGGATACAGAAAATTTAGGGAAATAAACAAAGCAGAATTCACGGTTAACCATAGTCACACGTACTCTTTGCTGAGTTTCAGTACCACGTGATCTGATTCAGACTACTATCAGGACCATCTTCCTCCTCTTCTGTAATGTGCTGATTGGCACTCTCTTTGGCAGATGACAAATGTCCAATATTGAGTCTTCCTCTGAGGGTGGCTTCCTTAGTCCTTCACTTCCATCTTTTTCAGAGTCACAACCTATCCTCATTTCATTTTGGGAAATTTCATCAGGATTTGTGTGAGATTATATTATCACTAACTGCTTCACTTGTTTCACTGAGACTAAGGCTATTCTCCTCAACGTGTTAATTTTCTCTGCAACGAGAGCTGTTTTTACTAGGACTACCTTTGGCAGGGAGTTCTCCTGTGGCGCTGTGGGTTAATGCACTGGATTGCAAAGTCGGCTTGAACTGCAAGGTAAGCGGTTCAAGCTCGCCAGCCGGTCTTAAGAAATCCAGTACAGGATCACTATGGGTCAGAACCAACTCGACGGCACTTAACAACAACAACCTCTGGCAGGGGCTGCCCTTTGTGGTGAAGTTCTCAGGGTATACCAATGTTCTTGAGGCTCGCGAGGATACAGACATCATTTGAGTTGAAACACGGTCTAGAATAGACGATGGTTCTGGTTCTCCAAAGACTTGTGTCTAGGTTTTTATTGGTGTAGTCATTACATCACTCTTTTCAGGCACTGCAATTTCCCACCACATCCACTTCTTCCTCAGAATCCCTTAAAGATGACTGAATTTCAGAAAAGCGTCCTGTAGCTGGCTCAGCAGTCAGCTGATTAATATGTTCTACAGGTAGGCAGGCAGTTACTATTTTATGGTCCTCCAACTTAACCTGCACTTCTGAATTTGAGCAAGGCACATTATAGTCTGTATAACAGTCCTCTTTCTTACCCAGGAACATTGAAGTTTAGACATCTATATCCCTATTTTCAGCTACTGATTTTTCCTGCAACATAAAGGAACCCGTGTTATTTTGTTTGGTGTTTCCCCTCAGGCTGACAGTCATCACAGTTTAGAAGAGCTGAATCACTGTCATCAACACCATTGGCAGCCAAATAACATGCAGTTTCTTCAACAATTACTGACTTAAGTGGCCCTTCTTCACTGACATTCACCTTGTAAATTTCCAAACTTTTCTCACATTCAGGCAGTATAAGACACTGAAGAGTTCTTTTCATCCCTTGAATTTCTGCATCATTGCCCACTACTGTGCACCTCTGTTCTACAGACTCCTTGTCTGATTGTACAGGTGAATATTCTTCTGAACTGTTGGTGCTTCAGATCGAAAGCAACACTTAATTCTTTTTAAAAATGGAGAAACAGGTTCTATTTGCCTTCACTCACAATTTTCTACAGCCTGCCTCTCTGTGTTATCCTTTTCTGAAGAAGAAAGCCCTCTTTTTCTAGGGCTCATCCAACATCCATATAAATGGAGAAAAGATTGAAGTTGTCAAAGACTTCATTTTGCTTGGATCAACTATCAACACTCATGGAAGCAGCAGTCAAGAAATCAAACGACGTACGGCATTGGGCAAATCTGCTGCACAAGACCTCTTTGAAGTGTTCATGAGCAAAGATGACAGTTTGAGGGCTAAGGTGCACCTGACCCAAGCCATGGGTTATTTCCAGTAACCTCATATGCATGTGAAAGCTGGACAGTGAATATGGATAACTGTAGAAGAGCTGATGCATTTGAGTTATGGTATTGGAGGAGAATATTGAAAGTTATCATGGACTGCCAAAAGAACAAACAGATTTGTGTTGGAAGAAGTGCAGAGTGCTTCTTGGACGCCAGCATGGCCAGACTTCAAACATATTGTCAGGAGGGACTAGTCCCTGAAGAAGGATATCATGTTTGCTAAGGTGGAAGGTAGGAGGAAAAAGAGGAAGACCCCCCCAACGGGATGGATTGGCACAGTGGCAGCAGTAATTGGTTCAGGCATTGCAACAATTGTGAGGTTGGTGCAGGACTGGGCAGTATTTTGTTCTGTTGTGCATAGCATTGCTATGAGTTGGTGTTGACTCAATGACACCTAACAAAAACATCTATTATTCTTGAGTAGTTTGCTGTTTTAAAACAGAGGCGCTTCAATTGTTAGATCCTTTCTGAATTTGCACAGGTCTCTTTGGGGGATCTTGATCGTACTTTAGAATGAGAGACAATTTCTTCAGGGTGAGCAATCTAGGTACGATTCCTTAAAGTTCTACCACAAAAAGATTCATCCAAGCCTTTAAACCCCACTGTTGATATTGTAACACAAGTATATCGGGAAGCAGCCTTACTAGGGGCATTATGACCCACTCATTGGGAAACCTGATTGATTGGTTTGAATAACCTCTTCTTTGAATAGTTTCGTGGTATTTTCCAAAGGTCTCTCTCATCACGCATAATGAAGATGCTATTAACATTTCACTCTCCAGTTTCTCTTCTATTTAGCCTTCACAAGATGCTTCACTACTTCACTATCTGTGTAATCAAAGATCTACTCATTGCAGAGATATGATTCCTTTTCTTTATATACTGAAGGAGTTGGAGATATGATCTAGAATAAAGCTTAAGCACCAGGGTTTCAGAATATCTTTCACCTGGGGATGGATGCTGTGGACCACTCCTGGAGGTGCCACCAATGTGGCCACTCTCCACCCCCACCACTGCACTTGCTCTTCATCTTTTTTTAAAACTTACTTTTAATTTAAAAATGTATGGTTTTTTGAAGAGAAAAAAAAAAAACAAGGAGAAAAACAGATCCTATGTTATCCCACTATTAAATTTGGTAAATTATTTTATGGTATTTTCTTCTGTTTTTCTATAAAAAAATGCATACTTATATATACATTTTCTAAATGTAGCTTTGTTTTTGTAGGTATAGTAATGAATTCGATGTTGTTGTTGTTAAGTGTTGTCCAGTTGGTTCCAACTCAGAGTGACTCTAAGCACAAAAGAACAAGAAACACTGCCCAGTTACCCAGAACTTGTCATGAGCCACACAGTCGAAAGTCTTTGCATAGTCAATAGAACACAAGTAAACGTATTTCTAGTATTCTCTGCTTTCAGCTAAGATCCATCTGACGTCAGCAATGGTATTCCTAATTACACATCCTCTTCTGAATCTAGCTTGTGTTTCTGGCAATTTCCTGTCCCTGTACTGTTGAAGCTGTTTTTGAATTATCTTCAGGAAAATCTTACTTGCTTGTGACAGTAATGACATTGTTCATGGCTTCCATATTCTGTTGTGTCACCTATCTTTGGAATGAGCACAAATATAGATTTCTTTCAATAGATTGGCCCAGTAGCTGCCTTCCAAATTTCTTGGCATACATGAGTGAGTGCCTCCAGTACTGCATCAGTTTGTCGAAAGATTTCAATTTGTAGTCTACCAATTCGTAGAGCCTTTTTTCCCCACCAATGCTTTCAGTGTTATTGGTTTTTGATCATATCTACCTCTTTAAATGATTGAACATTGACTATTTCTTTTTGGTACAGTGACTCTGTGTATTCCTTCCATCTTGTTTTGATGCTTTCTGTAGTGTTCAGTATTTTGCCCATGGAATCCTTTAATATTGTAAGTAGAGACTTGAATTTTTTTCTTTAGTTCTCTCAGCTTGAGAACTGTCTCCTAAGTGCCCTGAAATAATCTGATCACCACAATTGTTCCAAATGTTTTCCCTATCTTGTTATCTGCCTTTCAACTGTTCATTGCAAATTTTGATAGTCACAATTAAGACTTTTTATATAATCAGATACCTCAATTTTTAATTTCTTCTATTGTGTGCTTGCAGAATTCTTTCCCTCTTAAAATCAATTCAATAGTATACCTTACTTTAATTTCTTTTGTATGTGTGTATTGTTGTTTACATTTAACTTATTTTACTGGAGTAATATGAGTTGGTGTTTTTGTTCAGTCAATTTTCCTAACACTATTATTGAATAACTCATACCCTCCTCTCTTTGAGTGGGGGAGCTTTCATCATAACTAAATTTTTATATATTCTAGATTCTGTTAATAGTCTCTACCCTTTCTGCTCATCTTGGATGTCTGCACCAATACCACACACATGACCATACCGTGAGAATGTTAAAAGACATTCTTGCTGGCCATTGTTTCTTTTCAAATTGCTTTCATTTTAAACTGTTCTTCCAGATGAATGTTGTTTTATGTTTTAACTTTTTATTGTCATTTGGGTGAAAGTTTACAGAGCAAATTATTTTTCCATTCAACAGTTTATACACATTTCCAGATTAACTTTGGAATCATTTCATTTAAGTACATCTTGCTCTCTATAGAATGATAAACTGATTAATTTTTTCTCAGGAGAGTATCAAAAATCTATTTGTAATAACCAAAAGTATATTTATAAAAACATATTTCCTACCCCAGGAGAGTATATTTGAATGTGATTTTTGCGTTCTTCATCTAGGTCACTCACATTTCTCCTTTGGATAGGTTCTAAATATCTGAATTTTCTAATTGTGTGGGTGTTTATTTTGAAACCATCAGCTTACTAAGTATCCTCTTGTTTGTCCTAATAGGTTGCTTTTTGTACTTTACTTGAATTTTCTAGATAGACTATCATATTATCCATTATCTTTCCCATAGCTATAACCTTATCAGCTTCATACTTGATAATAGTAATAATGACAGTGATACTAACAGGTATAAACGTTGACTTACTTCTAAACTTATTGTGAATGTCTTTAGATTTCATCATTCAATAAGGATTTGGCCTCTGGTTTGAATTCACTTTCAATTGCTTGGTCAGGGAGAAATCATGGGAATTTTTGAAGATGAAGAATAGTCATCTGCACAAAGTTCCCCACGTATGAACGGGTTATGGTTTTAACCATAACTGGTTAAATCTGTATAGTATGTAGATAAATATGGAATCTGTACAGTATGTAGATAAATTTCCTCACAAATAAAAAGTTATAACCTTTCTAAAGTACAGTGAAGTTCCCTGGCTGGTCTTCAAACACTTATTTGATCCATTAGCTTCAGAATTGAAATCAGCCTCAAGCTCTTCTGAGCCCTCTGGCTATGATGTACTAAATGAGGGAACTTTTAGACAGAGGGTCTAGTAGTTGTGCTGTATATGTTTTCTTCCTTTTATAATCATAATCCTAACATTATTCCTTCTTCATGGATGAAGAAATTGAGACCCAGAGATTTGTCTTTAGAAGTTATACAAGCATCATTTAACCTGAATTTTCAACAAATCATCAGAAAGGGGAAAAGCACATGGTTCCTAAAAAGAGTTATCTAACTCAGGAGCTCTCCCACTTTCATGTGCATACAAATCACCTTAGGAATCTTGTTAAATATAGATTCAGATTCAATAGACAAGGAATAAGACTTATACACTGCATTTCTAACAAGCTTTCAGGTGGTACCAGTGTTTTGATAAGCAGACTACACTTTTGAGTAGCAAGGCTCCAGCCCACTTAATTCAATCCTCAGTGATCGTATTGGTTCCTTCTTTAAAATGTGTATTAAAACAAAACAAAAACCCTTCACTTATAAGAAAGAGATTTAGTCACATAACAAACTCCTTCAGCTATGGCAGAAGGAGGGTCCAGCAGGATACCTTTTAATGTTATCCTTTGGGTCAATCCAGGAAAGTCGTATATGTAGATGAGGGGGTTTAGCCTTCGATCTGAAAAAGCCACCACTTCATAGGGGATGTTCGTTGCCATGACGCCCACAATTCCACTCACACACTGGAGTAATGTCTTTTCCTTGGTTTCAATATTAATGAATATTATGTAATTTCCAGAAGGGTAGCAAATGGTTTCATTGTTGACAAACTGAACATTCTGCTTAGGGAATCCTTGTACCCATCTTGGGGAGAAAGTATGTCACCATGAGTATAATACATTTCAAATTCTTTCTTAAAAAAAAAAAGCAAACACAAAGTTATCACAGTCTGCAAAACACATCTAACGCTATCTTTGCCCCTTTCTCTACCTAAGATAAAAGAATACACAATCCTGACTGTGGCATTAGTTTGGCTCCCAGAACCTTCTTCTAAGAGCTTAAATACAAGCCTGGGAAAGTCTCATAAAGATTACCAGGGTCATGAATACTTGGGTGGGGGATGGGGGTGTTTGTGTGTGAAAAATCTTAAAGGGTTTGATTCGAACAGAAAACAGGTTATGTTAAAAGCGTAGTTTGATTTTAGAAAACAAACAGCTTTAAGTATGACAGTGTGCTTTATGTATGTGAGTAGGAAAATTGCGTCTTTTTAAAATGAAACGTGTGTATCCATAGTTTAGATGTGAAAAGACAGATAGATGCAGGAAATAGAGAGCCAGATATATGCAGAAAATGAAGACGAGAGTGGTCAAAATACAAAAGGAACGTTTTAAAGTAAGAAAATGTGTGGAGTGTGCACTAGCAGGAAGGAGAGTCTGAGATGAGACATTTTACTTTTATTTAAATACTAAAGATATACTTGAAAATGGTAGGAAAAGTAAGCAAAGAACGCCGGTTGACGTGAACAGCCTGAAGATGTTGGAGTATATAAGTGGACTAGTCGAAGATGCTGTATGGAAGAGAATGTGGGCAACACTCTAGATAGAACGTGGAAGGAAAGAAATATACCGTCTAGTATCTATGCAGCGCTTTATGCTTTTCAAAAGCCCCCTTAAAAGTAAATAAATCTAAAGCTAACGAACGGATGGGCGTTAGAAAAAGGGACTGACAATCCTAACTGGAGAAATCATCGAAGACAGACTGCAAAGGTCGGGATGGAATGGGCACGTCACTAGAATAGGGGTGGAAATATTTAGGAAAAGTTTGGGGACATGGATCACTGAAGGGAATACTGAGTAGAAGACAGGAATATTGGGTAAGTACGCAGGTGTCCAGATCGTAGAAAAATAAGGGGTGAGGAGAACAGTTAGGGACTGGGACACTGAACAATGGGATGGGGACCAGAAGAGAAGAGTTTCTAAGCAAGGAGTCTGCGAAGCTGTTTAGGTAGAGTAGAAGTTAGGGAGAGAGAAGAGTAGGGAGAGGATGCAGGTCAGATGATGTTTCTGAGACCGAAGTCATTCGCGGGACCGTGGACGCCCCACCTCACAGACAGGGACGAGCTGCCAGCGAGGTGTTGGGCCTCCTCTCGCTCCTGGCCTTCTGCCATGGCTCACGCTTCTCTCAACCCGGCCGCCGACAGCAAACGATGAACCTCCTCTAGGACTGTAACCGTCAATCTTCAGTCTCTTGCTGCCCAGCCGGCAAATCTGATGTGTTTACACTTGTGTCCTGGAGACCGTAAGCCACGCACCCATTGGCTCTACCCGTCGGCCAATGCTTCTTCTTTTCCCAAGTGAATTGGTGGAAGTGCGGCCAAGTATCGACCAATAGAAAGCAGCGAGCGAAGCGAGGGGCGGGTCCTCGTATGGTGGGCGACGGCAGCGTGGAACCAGATTGAATGCGGCAGTAGCCCAGCCAGGAAATACTGCTTATAACAAGTATCAGTAATGGTGTAGTTAAGTGTCCTATGGTAGGTTCTGACCCTGTTCACAACTGCCGGTCCTGCGCCATCCTCACAATTGTTCTTACGCCTGAGCCCATTGCTGCTGCCACTGTACCAATCCATCTCCTTGGGGACACTTTACTTCACTATGATATTCTTTTCCAAGGACTGATCCTTCCTGATAATATGTCCCAAGTCGGAGAGATGAAGTCTCACCATTCTCGTTTCTAAGAAGCATTCTGGTTGTACTTCTTCCAACACAGATTTGCTTGTTTTCTGGCATTCGTGGTACTTTTAATATTCTTCTCCAACACCTTAACTCAAACGCACCAGTTCTTCTATGGTGTTCTTTATTCATTGCCTGACTCTAACATACATACGAGGCGATTGAAAATACCATGACATGGGACAAGAGCACTTTAATTCTCAAGCTGTTAAGACATTAATATTGAATGTTGCCTATGTCAAAGGCTGTTTCAAGCACTATGTAAGGATTATTTCATTTAATCTCACATCCTCCATTAGCCCCATTTTACAGATAAACAATGTGAGGGCAAGACGAGTAAGTTGCCCAAGGCTATAAAGGTGCTGGTGGTGGTGGTGATGTTCTGTCTAGTCAGTCGGCACTGTATATATAGTGTTTCTGAGGCTGTAGCAGAAAGCCTCGTTTTTCTTTGACAGAGCAGTTGGAAGGCTCACATTGCTGACCTTGCGATAGCAGCCCAACACATAACCCACTATGCTACCAGGGCTCCTGAGTGGGGCCTAAATACCAAAACAAAACAACAAAACACATACTGGTGGAGTCTGTTCCAACTCCTAAAGACCCTACGAGTACAACTACCCCCACAGGATTTCCAGGGTTATATTTCTAGAAGAGAGTCCTGGTGTGGTGCTGTGGGTTAATGCTCTGGACTGCAAAGTGGTTCAAGCTCACCAGCTGCTCCTCAGAAACTCTATACAGGGTTGTTATGGGTTGGAACCGACTCAACAGTACTTAACAACAACAGTTTATAGAAGGGGATTCCTGGTGTGACACTGTAGGATCAGCACTACAACACTGCGAACCGAAAGGTCAGCAGTTCAAACCTCTCAGCTGCTCCTTGGAAACTCTATACAGGGTTGCTATGACTCAAAATTGAGTTGACGGTACTTAACAAAATTTATAGAAGGCGCCCTGTTGGCTTTGTGAATTAGATCTTGGGCTGATAACCATAAGGGCAGCAATTCAAACCCATTAGCTGCTCTACAGGAGAATGTTGATGCTGTCTGCTCCAGTAAAGATTTATGTCTGGGAAAACCTGAATAAGGTCATTAAGAGTCAGCATGGGTTGGGTTTGGTTCCAAATATCTCTGGATGAATACTGCCACATCTCTCTCCCCACAAGAGAGCCTGGTGGGTCCAAATGTTGACCTGGTAGGTTTCAACATGACCTTTCAGTTAGCAGCCAAGTGACTAATCATAAAACTCCAAACCCTTAATTATTATATTAAATATTATGTTACACTTTCAAATGTACCCACTGCTCCCTCAAGGAGGCAGACAGCTTCTGGGTGAAATCTGACCCAATGGTCTACAGCTTGTCCTTGATTCTTCCTTTCTGCCCTCTCCCATGTCATCCTCTTTCCTCCCCGGTCTCCTTCATTTCTTTCAAAGTATTCATTGAGCATCTCTCATGCGTTGTGCTAATCACTTAGAACAAAATAGTGAACAAAACAAATAGAATGTCTTCATTCTTCATACTTAGAGACTGGCAGGGAGCAAGGAGGAGGAAGTGAACTTGGAGCCCTGGTGTGGTGCTGTAGGATTAGTACCGGACTGCTAACCATAAGACTGGTGGTTCAAACCCACCAGTCGCTCCTTGGAAACCCTATGCAGGGACCTTGTGAATCAGAACTCACTTGACAGCACTTAACAACAACATCATGCAAATAAAGAAATTGGCTTGAAATAAGAAGAAAAGGAACGTGATATCAGAAGAGCTGCTGTTGGAATCCTCAGCCAGCTGGAGGAGCAGTGACAAGGATGGTTTCTATGTCTAGGTGCTGTTTTGACTGTCCTGGGACCACTTGAAAGGTATGCCACTGAGTGGTTTTCTATTTATTGTTGAGGTTCCCACCACCAGCTGTGAGAGATCATTCAACAATTTAAATTAATACTTTCATATTTGAGAGCTTTCATGGGTCAAGGCAGACTTTGAGCACATCCCACACCAATTTTCATCAGTGAAAGTAAGGAAGGTGCAGGTGTAATTTTCATGTAATGCCATAATATGTTAAGTAAAAGATGAATGAGGTTGACTCGTATTTTTTGAGCTGACACGATGGTAAAGTTAACTAAAAGAAAGGGGTGAGCTATTTGGACAGGGGCACAATTTCAGTGCTTGCCATACACACTATTTTCCGTAGACAGCGTCTGCCTACAGGGCAGATCTACTTGGCCCCACAGGATCACTATGCACTGGGATTGACTCAATAGCACACAATAACAACATGGATCATGTTCCAATTTTTAATGACCCCATAGGAGAGAGTAGAATTTCCCCACCGGGTTTCCTAGACTGTAAATTTTATGGGACCAGATCTCTAGGTCTTTTCTCTCATGAAGTTGGTGAGGGGTTCAAACATCAGACCTTTCAGTTAGCAGCTGAGCACTTAACTATTCCACCTGGATTCCTTGTCACATTTGACCCACTCCTAATTCTGATTGTTGTTAAGTACTGTTGAGTCAGTACTGACTCATAGTGACCCTGTATAGGGTTTCTGAGGAGCAGCTGGTGGGCTTGAGCTGCTAACCTTTCAGTTAGTGGTCCAGTGTTTATTCTATAATGTCACACCGGGACCCCAGCATACAGATGTTGTTGTTGTTGTTGTCAGGTGCCATTGAGTCGGAACCGACTCATAGCGACCCCGTGCACAGCAGAATGAAACAATGTCCGATCCTGGGCCAACCCCACCACCGC